CCCCAAAACCCCAAAACCCCAAAACCCCAAAACCCCAATCTCTTATTTTTACATTGAATTTTCCCTGCCTATAATATCTATGGCATACAGGTGCTCTACAAAGAAATTTGGGACAGAGCATATGCTGGATTGGACAAATTTTGACAGATTTCGAGGAGACTTTACTCCCTAAGGAGGAGTAATTTGGAAATTCTTATTATAAAGTTTGGAATGGATATTACTTTAAGAAATTCTAAAATTTTGAAACAAATTTAATATTCTTCTTGCGTTTATTTTCAGCTGTTTTCCTGTTCTTTTTCTCTTTTCTTTGTTGAACTTCGAGCTTAGTTTTCCACTCCTGAGCATATTTCTCATTTTCATAGAAGAGCCAGATAAGGTCTTCTCTGTACCGATGATCTGAAGGAAGACTCTTTTTCAAGAATTGGACTCGGGAAGGTGTTTTAGTATCAATATCCCAGTAATCTTCTTCATCTATCTTGAGATAATCTAGCCAAGATCCGTGAATTGTTCAGATTTCTTCATCTAAATCACTAATTTTGGAGATCATGTCAGGGTCTTTCTTCCAAGGAGTTCCATCAGAATAGTAGAGAACACCTTCAAAGTAATTTGGGTCTTCATCATCTTGGACTTCTTTAGCTTTTGGTTCCATAAAAATGGCTGTTTTCAGGCCTTTCTCCTCATTGACTACTGTGAGGATGCTATCCATTGAGATTAGCTTAGCCCCAGACAGAAGCCCTTTAACTTTGTTAGTGTGATTATAAAATGTTATTTCTTCTCCATCTGGAAATGTAATAGTGTTTGGACCCTTGAAGAGGATGTTTAAAATATTACCCCTGCTTTTAATATTTCCTACAAATTCATTATTTCCGTGGAAAGTGTAAGGAGCATCTTTTGGCCCTTCGATGAGGTAATTGGATATAGGAGGATGGTGACTTGTATGCTCCATGTATATCTTAGTACCATCAGAGTATTTACCTTCAAGAGTCTCTCCAAGTATTGGGTTAAATGGTTTGAAAGGATTGGCTCTCATATACATCCCACTTACAACAAACGCTGTCACTAACTTCATTCTCTCCACAGAATCTCTTGTCTTACATGCCCTATTAAGATACTCTGGTGCAAAGCTGAACCCATCAAGGACTCTTTCTAGAGCTGAGCGGGGTTCAAAAATTCTGACAGGAAGTGAGATGCCTACTACACCTCTTCCTGTAAAGATGCATTTGGCAATTTCCTTAATAACATAAGTGAGAATTCCCTTTGATTTTTCAAGCATTTGGGGATCTGTGCACTGAAGAATACCTTTATCATTGATCTCAAGTCCTTTCAAGATGTCTAATTTTACAGTTGCCTTAGGTTTCGATAAAGTGGCATATGGGATATAGCAAGGCGGAGGAGAATTTTCATTATACTTAGCATCCTCATCTAGGAAAGAATAGGGAGGTGTAGAAACTTGTTTCGAGTATATCAGAGGGTCATTCCCATCAAGAGGAACTACGCCAACCTCTTTGATCTCTTCGGATACAGTATTGTCATCTTTAGGATTTGATGCCCTTCTGTCATCTTTATCTTCAGCATCTTCTTCTGTCTGCATTGTATGTAAATATCATTTCGGCGGAGGTTCGATACTTGATTTCATCACATTATTCAATAAACTTGAGTGAAGCTTAACATTGAACACAGCTCCAGCCTTAGTTGATTTCTTAAACCCATTATTGGACCATCCCCACCTCTTTCTAGCACCATAGCCTGAGGAAGAATAGCTGTTCTGGCTGATATCCTGACTATATTTACTTTTCTTTCCTAAACTTCTTTTGGGTGCTTTTCAGATGCTGAACTTGCTTATTGAAGAGCCATTCATGAAGGCATCAAAAGATTCATCAGCCTCTTGCTGCATGAAGATATCATTTGTCCTTTTAGACCTCTTCTTTCTCTTTACTTTTGTGATGACCGAAGACATAACTTTCTTGAATTATTATTTTCAAAAACAGCTTTCTTTTAAGGGGTTTTGGGGTTTTGGGGTTTTGGGGTTTTGGGG